TAAGCCCTTCTCAGTACCAGTCACAACCAATTACCATATAGACCCTACAATAAGCCCTTCTCAGTACCAGTCACAACCAATTACCATATAGATCCTACAATAAGCCCTTCTCAGTACCAGTCACAACCAATTACCATATAGACCCTACAATAAGCCCTTCTCAGTACCAGTCACAACCAATTACCATATAGATCCTACAATAAGCCCTTCTCAGTACCAGTCACAACCAATTACCATATAGATCCTACAATAAGCCCTTCTCAGTACCAGTCACAACCAATTACCATATAGATCCTACAATAAGCCCTTCTCAGTACCAGTCACAACCAATTACCATATAGATCCTACAATAAGCCCTTCTCAGTACCAGTCACAACCAATTACCATATAGACCCTACAATAAGCCCTTCTCAGTACCAGTCACAACCAATTACCATATAGATCCTACAATAAGCCCTTCTCAGTACCAGTCACAACCAATTACCATATAGATCCTACAATAAGCCCTTCTCAGTACCAGTCACAACCAATTACCATATAGATCCTACAATAAGCCCTTCTCAGTACCAGTCACAACCAATTACCATATAGATCCTACAATAAGCCCTTCTCAGTACCAGTCACAACCAATTACCATATAGATCCTACAATAAGCCCTTCTCAGTACCAGTCACAACCAATTACCATATAGATCCTACAATAAGTCCTTCTCAGTACCAGTCACAACCAATTACCATCTAGATCCTACAATAAGCCCTTCTCAGTACCAGTCACAACCAATTACCATATAGATCCTACAATAAGCCCTTCTCAGTACCAGTCACAACCAATTACCATATAGATCCTACAATAAGCCCAGTGGCATAAACAGAGAATCTTGCTCAGTGTAAGGTGAATTGCATGTTGCAAGACATTGTAATAGAATTTGTAGGTTAGTCTATGCTTTGGTTTAACTTTTTACCAGGGATGGGCTGATTTTTGAATAGATATGGTACGGTTGTTGTCAGATTGCTCAGTAATAGTGCACTTTGTGGTTCTGGTACCTGGGTCTTTTGTAGATCCTGGTCTGTTTCACACCCACCAGCTAATAACAGTACATTATACATGTATGTATCATCAATTTCCACTTACATGTTTATATACTTCTTGAAAAGTCAGTTACCTATATATGTGTAGAGAAGGTCATAAGTACATAACAGGTCTCTGAAATATGTGGTAGATTGTATTCTAAACATCTCATTTCGATGCATTTTTTTTCTACATTAGTCGTGCTTTTACATAATTTTGACTTTAAAATACACTGGATGTGTCTATACAGGAATAGTATTGTACACACACCATAACATTGTCAAGTACATCACCTAGTCCTTGTCATTCACGTATTGATTGTAAGCACTCAATGTTAAGAGATTTCTGAATTGAATGTGCAGTACTGAGCATGAATATGTTAACATAATGGGATGTGCATGCTACAACTTGAGGTGTTCGTGTCATCCTGCCTTTAAAATAAATCTAAGGCACTGTTCAGTTTTTATCAACCCGATCACACTTTTGTTGATTTAACCTTTTTTTAAACCTCAGAAGTGAAATTACAAAGACAATACATTCAAGATAATGATTTATAGATACTGTTCAAGTGTTATATATAAATAAGTTAGTCCTGGTTAAAGGCTTGGTTGACATTCATTTATACTTTACTCTCCCTATTATTAACAAAACATCACCTGTACAGGTGTATATTGTCCATCCTCAATGACAAAACATCACCTGTACAGGTGTATATTGTCCATCCTCTCAGACAAAACATCACCAGTACAGGTGTATATTGTCCATCCTCTCAGACAAAACATCACCAGTACAGGTGTATATTGTCCATCCTCAATGACAAAACATCACCAGTACAGGTGTATATTGTCCATCCTCAATGACAAAACATCACCTGTACAGGTGTATATTGTCCATCCTGTCAGACAAAACATGACCTGAACAGGTGTATATTGTCCATCCTCAATGACAAAACATAACCTGTACAGGTGTATATTGTCCATCCTCTCAGACAAAACATCACCTGTACAGGTGTATATTGTCCATCCTATCAGACAAAACATCACCTGTACAGGTGTATATTGTCCATCCTATCAGACAAAACATCACCTGTACAGGTGTATATTGTCCATCCTCAATGACAAAACATCACCAGTACAGGTGTATATTGTCCATCCTCAATGAAGAAACATCACCTGTACAGGTGTATATTGTCCATCCTCTCAGACAAAACATCACCTGTACAGGTGTATATTGTCCATCCTCAATGACAAAACATAACCTGTACAGGTGTATATTGTCCATCCTCTCAGACAAAACATAACCTGTACAGGTGTATATTGTCCATCCTCTCAGACAAAACATCTACTCTGTTCCTTCCTATTATCTGATACTATAATGATCAGAGTAATATAAACATAAATATGTTCCTTCTTATTCTCTGTATACTATAATGATCAGAGTAATATAAACATAAATATGTTCCTTCTTATTCTCTGTATACTATAATGATCAGAGTAATACAAGCTATATTGCAACAAACTCCTACTTATTCTGTGTATACTTCAATATGTTTTTTTAGCTGTAAAGTTCAGCTGAAATGTTCCCCTTTGTTGTCAATAATCAAGATACAATATATATTAAACCTTCATTCATAGTAAGATATAGTTATAATGCCCCCCTTGTCATTCACACTTAAATACAGTTACGATGTTCCCAATAATTTGATGTATGATACAGTTATAATGCCCCTCTCCTAATTCACACTTAGATACAGTTATAATGCCCCTCTCCTAATTCACGCTGAGATACAGTTACAATGTTCCCAATAATTCACTGTAAGATACAGTTACAATGTTCCCAATAATTCACTGTAAGATACAGTTACAATGTTCCCAATAATTCACGCTGAGATACAGTTACAATGTTCCCAATAATTCACTCTGAGATACAGTTACAATGTCCCCAATAATTCACTGTAAGATACAGTTACAATGTTCCCAATAATTCACGCTGAGATACAGTTACAATGTTCCCAATAATTCACTGTAAGATACAGTTACAATGTTCCCAATAATTCACTGTAAGATACAGTTACAATGTTCCCAATAATTTACTGTAAGATACAGTTACAATGTTCCCAATAATTCACTCTGAGATACAGTTGAGATACAGTTACAATCCCCAATAATTCACTGTAAGATACAGTTACAATGTCCCCAATAATTCACTGTAAGATACAGTTACAATGTTCCCAATAAATTCAAGCTGAGATACAGTTACAATGTCCCCAATAATTCACTGTAAGATACAGTTACAATGTCCCCAATAATTCACTGTAAGATACAGTTACAATGTCCCCAATAATTCACTGTAAGATACAGTTACAATGTTCCCAATAATTTACTGTAAGATACAGTTACAATGTTCCCAATAATTCACTCTGAGATACAGTTACAATGTCCCCAATAATTCACTGTAAGATACAGTTACAATGTCCCCAATAATTCACTGTAAGATACAGTTACAATGTCCCCAATAATTCACTGTAAGATACAGTTACAATGTTCCCCAATAATTCACTGTAAGATACAGTTACAATGTTCCCAATAATTCACGCTGAGATACAGTTACAATGTCCCCAATAATTCACTGTAAGATACAGTTACAATGTTCCCAATAATTCACACTGAGATACAGTTACAATGTCCCCAATAATTCACTGTAAGATACAGTTACAATGTTCCCAATAATTCACTGTAAGATACAGTTACAATGTTCCCAATAATTCACTGTAAGATACAGTTACAATGTCCCCAATAATTCACACTGAGATACAGTTACAATGTTCCCAATAATTTACTGTAAGATACAGTTACAATGTTCCCCAATAATTCACACTGAGATACAGTTACAATGTTCCCAATAATTCACTGTAAGATACAGTTACAATGTTCCCAATAATTTACTGTAAGATACAGTTACAATGTTCCTCAATAATTCACTGTAAGATACAGTTACAATGTTCCCAATAATTCACTGTAAGATACAGTTACAATGTTCCCCAATAATTCACTGTAAGATACAGTTACAATGTTCCCAATAATTTACTGTAAGATACAGTTACAATGTTCCCCAATAATTCACTGTAAGATACAGTTACAATGTTCCCAATAATTCACTGTAAGATACAGTTACAATGTTCCCAATAATTTACTGTAAGATACAGTTACAATGTTCCCAATAATTCACTGTAAGATACAGTTACAATGTTCCCAATAATTCACTGTAAGATACAGTTACAATGTTCCCAATAATTCACTGTAAGATACAGTTACAATGTTCCCAATAATTCACTGTAAGATACAGTTACAATGTTCCCAATAATTTACTGTAAGATACAGTTACAATGTTCCCAATAATTCACTGTAAGATACAGTTACAATGTTCCCAATAATTTACTGTAAGATACAGTTACAATGTTCCCAATAATTCACTGTAAGATACAGTTACAATGCTCCCATTTTGCAGTAACATACAGCTATAATGTTCCCCTCCTTATTCACAATCAGATACAAGTACAATGTTCCCCCATTATTCACTGTAACAAACAGCCATAAAGTTTAATGCACAATAAGATTAAGTCATAATGCTTCCTTATTCATATTAACATACAGCTGTAATGTCCGCCCTTATTTACGATAAGATAGCAGATTCATGTTGATATTCCTTATTCACAGTCAGTACGACTTTTTTCATGCTTATTTATTTACAGTAACACAGGGTATAATTTGTCCTTATTGATAATGGACTAAAGATTATGTGTTTATCTTTCTCAAACAGATGTCTGTCAGTTATTGTCAATATCATAAAGATAAAAGTGATGAATTGATTTTATTTTCTTTGAAAAAGAAGTAAAAAAACAAGCCAATGTATCGTTTTTTCCATTTCTGCAGAATACCTCAGCTTCTAAGGACAAATCAAAGAAACTGAAATAGACCACCAGATGGAATCATGACAAGAAAATCTGAACCACTTGAGGAAACCCAGACATACAATATTGCCATAACACGTGCCTCAAGGAGCCTTTTTATTAGTGGAAACTTTGGCATTGCCTTAATTAATTGTGTTTGTGTGTTAGTTATTTGACTGTTGTTCATTAGATCTAATGGAAGGTACTTGTATCAGGAGACATGGATACTAAATATCATAACTTCCTATTTGTGGTTGTATTGTTAAAAAAACAAGACAAAATTTCCATATCATTGATCTTTTCATGTATTGTTTAGTAAATCAGGTTTTTCTGCTTAAAACTTTTACATGATCAGTCTGGAAATCAATATTTAATTAGTTTATACTTCCTGGTAATGACCAAGAATGTTGTATTGAATAATTTTGTGCCTTGTTAATCATTCAAAAATTTACTATATAAAGCAGGTTTTGATAAATGGGTTGGTGAGTTGGTATTGTATACAAGTAAAAGAAATAATTTGATAAAAGCCAATATTTACACAGAGTAACCAAGCTGGTTAGTTAGGGATGAAGTGGTTTGTCTGTCCTACTGACTTAGTAGCAATTAATTTTAAATTTTCATCTATTGAATCCAGTTAATGAAAATGTTGTGAAGGTAATGAAGCATTTACATTCAATAATTGAACATTATTATTTTTTCCATGTGGTTGTTATTGAAATAGCTCTAATTAATTAACAGAATTTCATATCAAATTGAAAAAAGGAATATATGTCCTTGTAATGGAATTTTCAGGTGTGTGGAAAATCCAGGTAATTTATCCAGGAGAATGAATCACATATAAGGAAGTTTTAGTGTGAGTGAAGTTTGTTCTGCATCAATTTCAATTACATTGTGTAAATACAGTGTTGATCACCACTGTGTGTTTTTGTATTTTAATGCATTATCAGACCATTGATCAGTCACAGCAGCAGTCTCTCCTATTCAGAGAAACGTCCAGGTGGTTAAAAAATACCGTAATAATTCTAGTAAAATTATTTCAGATAAACTCTTCCGTCATATATCTGTATATCACAAGCAATAACCAAGTTAAATACATACATAAAATATAGGTCATTGCAAAACTACACAGGTTGATCTTATCTTTAACAATAATACTAAATTAGCACTTGCATTAAACAACTAAATTATGAATACCTGGTACACCTAATCCATGTACTTAAGTATCGGCTTGTGAACAACCACCACAAACTTTTCCCTTTTGATTCATAGACTTGTTAATGTGTTTGTCATGAAATATTCATTTTCTGTAGATTTGTTGAGGTATTGTAAAAATAGGTAATAGTTGTCTTTAGATTTTGGTTTACTAGCAATGATGTAGGCTACACATATCTATATCTATATAATGTTTATATTGCCCTGTATTTTTCTACCTGCTGGTCAGGACAATAACAATTTTATTTACATATCTATTTATATAACATGTTCACTGTGTGATCTGTTAAAATGTTACTTATTGCTATGTAATTTAAGTATGATTCATATTTAAATAATTTTATTGTTGATGTTTCTGAAGATCTAGATGTAAACATCTAAATAGTGGCACCTCCAACGCGGAACCCCGGGCCTCTTCTTTCCTGATATATCAGCTCTGAAAAAGCATGATCAAAAGAAAGAAAGATTCTCTTCCTTTTATCAAAGATAACGAAACATTAGTTAAAAAAAAGATTCCATACTTTGAATAAAATAAATCTATATCAAAAGAAAACTGGAAAGATCACATCTTAAAATAAGTCAATTAACTACAAGAATGCATTACTATCAGCCACTCAAATTGATAACAAAAAACTACTCCTCTTAATGAAATTATTTCCTCGTCACATGCACATGACAAGATTTTATATTGTTGTTCAGCAATTTATTATGCCCATCAATGTAAACACAGGTGTTGTTGTCCCGCTATCTCTGTGATGAGAACAGTAATTAAATTGAGTGGAGGATGCAGCCTTACTTACAGGAAGTATCATTACATGCAAGTGTTTCAGTGACTCAGACAAAGTTACGATTAACATGCCTTGCTTTATAGGATTACATGATGTAATTTATATTGAAGTAACCTAAATATAACACAGTCTATGCAAAAATGGCCACATGAAAATTTTACACTACATTCCATCCACATTTATGTACTCCGTCCAAGAGATAAGTTAAATCCACCTGACTGTATTATTTCCACATCAGAAGCATGGTTACAAATTTTGAATGCTGAAATAAACATATTTTGAATTCTCCCAATAAATCAAATATATAAAAAAAAATCAATTTTATGTTGAGACATGTTAGGATCAAGTGTCGTTACAATATAGTTCCATGTTGTAGACGCTTAAAGGAGAATACCCAGGTAAATACTGTCAGGTGGATTTCAGTTTAAAATGTAAAATTTTTATCTTTATACTTGTTTAAGACTTTGTATACTTGTATTTAAATGTTAACACTTTTGTTGAAATAAATTAATATTAATCACAACAAATGTTTTTGTTTTACATTTTCTCCCTTGTATAAACAAGAGACCAGGTAACCCCTGAAAGAAGTAGTGTAGGAAATCAGTTTGTTACTTTACTTTGGGCTATTTATAACCTTTTTTTTGTTGTCCCTCCATTTCTCCAAATCCTTGATCCCCCCACTATCACAATACCTCACCTACAGTGTTAGCAATATGTAGTTGATTCGGTTGTCGAGAGATAAATGTCCCTGTTCCATCATGATTTCCTTCTAGACTGGTGATGAAAATTTGATATGGTGAGATGCTGGTTGATGGAGAATTAAGTCTCGATCTGCTTCATAGCAAGGTCAGTTCTTTTATTACATGAACCATTAAAGTTTTGGTTGTTAAAGAAGAAGCAGAAAAAATAATGATGTGTTTTTTTAAAGTCATGGACCTTATGATGCAGTTCTTATCACCAATAAATTTTGTTCCGTCAATTATCGTGAAGATACAAGTAAATTAAACATAAAACTGACATTTGGTGATGTTATTTATATCAGCTCGACAGGTAGAAGATAAGAGGAAATGACACTAATTATGGGAAGGAAAGTAGAAAATGTGGCATTTGTTATCATTTTATGAGATTTTTACGAGTAATTGTTGTTATGACACATACAACTGGGTATGCATGTTTGGATTTTTATTTCATTTGGACAGCCAAGCTTATATGTAGAATGTTTCCAAGGATGATGAGGTACCTAATGAAGAACTGTTTTATAGTGCTATCTCACTGAAATTACATTATACTAATACTTTGTTGCTTTAACCAGTCTGTGTGCTTCCAGTTCAAAGTTGAACATTAATAAATTTGTTTCATAACTGGCGGACACTCAACTTAGGAAAAATGTGAAGTAGTGTAAAGAGAGACATCGGGAAGAAAAGTATCTCAAATTATGACAGAAAACAAATATAATGATGTTTTAGCAGCCTCAAAAAATCTTGCAATTGGTGTTTTAGGTCATTTAAGTTGGAACTAATGAGGTACAAGTATAGGTTAGAATACATTACCTGTCATATTTACATGGATCAATTTTTATCGGTACCAGTAAGTACGCGATAAAAGGGAGAGAGATAGGAAACAAAACTGCATTTCTGTTTTATTGTTTATTATTGTTATTTGGTAGGAGTAACAACCTTACAACTAACATTGTGACTTACCAGTGATATTTGGTAAAATATTGACCATAAGACTAACATTATGACTTACCAGTGATATTTGATAAAATATTGACCATAAGACTAACATTATGACTTACCAGTGATATTTGGTAAAATATTGACCATAAGACTAACATTATGACTTACCAGTGATATTTGGTAAAATATTGACCATAAGACTAATATTATGACTTACCAGTGATATTTGGTAAAAAATATTAACCATAAGACAAATATTATGACTTACCAGTGATATTTGGTAAAATATTGACCATAAGACAAATATTATGACTTACCAGTGATATTTGGTAAAATATTGACTTACCATAAGACAAATATTATGACTTACCAGTGATATTTGGTAAAATATTAACCATAAGACTAACATTATGACTTACCAGTGATATTTGGTAAAATATTGACCATAAGACAAATATTATGACTTACCAGTGATATTTGGTAAATTATGACTTACCAGTGATATTTGGTAAAATATTGACCATAAGACAAATATTATGACTTACCAGTGATATTTGGTAAAATATTGACCATAAGACTAATATTATGACTTACCAGTGATATTTGGTAAAATATTGACCATAAGACTAACATTATGACTTACCAGTGATATTTGGTAAAATATTGACCATAAGATATTAACCATAAGAAAAACATTATAACATTATGACTTACCAGTGATATTTGGTAAAATATTGACCATAAGACTAACATTATGACTTACCAGTGATATTTGGTAAAATATTGACCATAAGACTAACATTATGACTTACCAGTGATATTTGGTAAAAAATATTAACCATAAGTTGTAACTTAATACTAAAGAAAGCACCGCTGAACTTTACAAAAGAAGTAAATGTATCACAAATGAGGTTAATACATATTTTCAGAGACTATCGGGAGCATATTTGGTGTCCAAGATTTCTGGGTGTTGAATGCCTTCTCATAATTGCCCAATTATATTTACAATGTACATGTTCTATACATAGAAATATTAATTGATCTGTGGTCTGTTTTAATGGTAACAAGGACGATAAGGACAACACCCTGTATATCTACATGTAACATCGTGCGGTATATATGCACTAGTTGGTTGAACTCCAGAAATAAAGTGTGGTGATAGTACCTTAAATGGTTTTATACTAAAGTTGGGGTTTAAATTCAATTGGAAGAAACAGGTAGATGGAATTAAATATCTACCTGTACTCGTGTAGGCCACGTTTGTGATTGGCTTAGTAGATTAAACACCAGATAAATTCTACCCAACTTAGTCGAACAATAACCCACTCTATAAATCCATTACATTTCTATTCAGTGTTACTGGCATGTTGGAGTGTTACGCACTGTATCTACAAGCTTATTTATACACAGTCTGGTTTGTGCCAATGTTCAAGTCTGGACAAAAGAAAAACTGAACTCTGCAATATTGTTCCTGTGCTCTGTTGTGTACCCAAAACAATAAACAATAACTTTGTGCACGCTGAAACAACACGACCTACTATAATTACACACTTATGTTTCGACTATTCTGATTAATGTAAAAAGTTCTT